TCATATTGCCAAGAACCAATCACATTTCTCATGTTACAAGCTGTACTTACAAGGTATATTACCGATACAAGGTTAAGCAATGAATCTAATTATCTCTATGAAACAGTATTCTCCATGCGTTTATATATATATATGTATACCTAACCTTAATTGTTGTCTGATATAGATCAACAGCCATGCAAAGAATGAAGCATATTATTTTCAAGAGGATTGATAGCTCTATTAATTTCGTAACGATATCGAAGATAGGAGGTTTTTTAAATTCATTAATTTCCTAATTCATCTATTTCTCACCTCTAGTTAACGAAATTTTGTCAATAAATTATACCAATACGCATCATTGAAAGTGAAGATAATTGTCGCATGAAATACAAAGAAGATATGTCACATTATACACTTTCATCAGTCGGTAATATACACTCATATGCAAATAATACTATATATAGATGAATATACACATTGTTTCAAAACATTTATCAAATCTTATTCGAAGGATTTACGGGAGGATTGATCTTATTTCGTTGCACGGTTTTATCATCAAGGTTTCGAAAAAGCACGAAGAAGAAAAAGAAGAAATAACGAGGAAGAAGCCTGGTTGGTACATTAATGAAGTAACGCTCGGTACGTTAGCTTCTTATCTTGATCAGGGGGTGATGTCTTCATTACGTATCGGTCCGTGCATAATTATACGACAGCCGACCCGAAAGCTAGCCGTATATGTACGGTGGGTCGGTGTGACAGAGATAGAAAGATTTATTAGACACGAGGCGACCACCGCATGATATAAAGTCCGACGGTAGGTGTTCTGGAAAAAAAGAAGGTCTCCCGGGCTGGCATCGTTTGCTCGCTAGCGATGCCCGCTTCATCGTCAGTCGCGCCAGAGATGTGCCCTCGAGAAGTCGATTAACGTCGTGATCCAGCTGGAAGCGATACCGGGATAACGTTTACTCGTGTTGGAAGCAACTTCTCTCATACCGACGATTTCTAAAGGAGAGACGAAATCCAGAGGATTTCTTACGGTGTAACTCGTTCGGTCGGTCTTTCTCCTGCCACGACTTAGAACGTACCATCTTCGATGTTCATTACAATTTCAAACAAACCTTTGCTCGTTTCCTTTCCTTGACGTTTGGGAAGCATTTCGTACACTCCTTTGAGGATCTTGATCGAAAAATTTCGCGGAGGAGAGTGTATTCGATCCTCCTATCCGAGGGGTCGTTCCTCCTTTACCCAGTCAGGTTTTATTAATCGATCGTGGTTCTTAACGAGAGTTTTGGTACTTCATTATGTAATTCTATTTATTTAGTATCTGTGTCTCGAGTGTTTCTTTTTCTCGTATTTATACTTCGCTCGCGTGACATTTTTAATGTTTATTTCATTACAAAGTGGCATACGAAATCGACGAGATATAAATAAAGGAAAAGAGAACCGCTGTAGTAAAATGGATTAATAGATTCTAATTCATGTATTTTTCTCTCTCTGTTCCTTGTTATTGTACGATCGGCGTTACAATTTTACGTGTTTGCTCTTCCTTATTCGATTCGATTCGATCCGATCTATATTCCTGGAGATAAAATAACTTAGCGTTCACAAACAATTTCAAGTGATCTCTTAAACGATGATAGTAGATCATAAACTGACTAATGGCTCATCAAAGATAACACAGTGTTTTAAGACAATTGGACAATGAAAATAAACCTTTCTCGTTAATGCCTCACGATCAAGTTCTCAAAGGTAGTGCTATTATTGATACGTGTAATCGACTAAATGGTTCTCTATCTTCTCTTGTGTACCATTTCTAATATCGATACTCTGGAACTTTCAGAGACATTAGACGTCGATATGAAATTTCAGTTTGCGTGTTAATTTAGCTCCCCATTAACGATGGCCTAATATTAGTTTGTGCTTGATCTTAGAACGTCAGATACTGTCGATAATCTAATAAAATGTTCTTGTTGAACGCGTTCACGATATGTGTATAAAAGTAATTATCTCTGTTATAAAATTACGAGTAATACACGTAGAGTGGCTAACGAGTGCTAATAACGATTTTTCTTAATGAATTTTGATTAAAAGAAATCTAATTTTGATTAGTGTACGGACATTCTATTTTATGAAAGTATTAGGAATCTACCTAATTAGTTATCAAAAGCAAACGTAGCTCGATCAAAGATATTATAGTATGAAGAAAATAATTTTGGAAAAATGGAAAGATTATTCGAAGATTACCTTTCGACCATTGTAATTGAAACAATTTGCTATAAATTATAAGATATTTGATTAAGTATCTCTGTACTGTCTTTATTAATAACGTATACCAAAATAGTTTCAAAGAATGCCCTTAATTAGAAATTTAATGATCTTTTAGCTTCTAATAATGAATTCTATAAATTCTAAATTCTGAAAATTATATTCTTCTATATATTTAGTTTAATTTAGTCGATTTATAAAATAAATATTAATTGTTTAATATATACTTTGATTCAGTAGATCAAATAAGTACATTAATTATTTAATATTTTCTTGGATCCAATCTTTCAAGTAAATATAAATTTAATATTAAATTTTATCTTGTAGATTTAATTTATTATTTAATATTTAGTTTAATCCAGCTTATCTATCAAATATTAATTATTTTATATACTATATTTTTGAAATAGATTGCAATTCATGAATAGGAAGTCTTCTTCGAATAGGAAAGTCTATTATCCTTGAATGAAAAGAATGTCATCGTACTAATAAAACCTTTGTGCCTATTGTAATAATGTAATAACAATTACTAAAACAGTATCGTTGAACCGTGTCCCTAGATAGAGTCGAATGAAAAAGACAATCTTTGCTAGTTCTACGTTCTATTTTCTCCGATTAAAGAAAGCCTCGTAAAGATAGCCAGTCATTATTCACCTGTAACTGTGCTGCATTTGATCACAATTCTGACTCGTTTTGTCAACGATCGTGTAATGTTGTTCATATCAGTGAGTCGACCGAATCGAACCTTTGGATATGGTCTGGGAGGAAGAGGAGGTCGAAACCACGTGGCAGGAGTTGTCGACCTTCTACAGATACGGACTGAAGACTATTACGTGCAGTCAGTACGATTACGCTGAACGTGGACCGGTCTGTTACACCAGGATCGATCCAGAAAACGAAGAAGTGCCACCAGGATTCGATTTTTCTCCATTAATTTTTCAGAGTCTTTTCTACGTGCAAACGAAAAAAGGTTTCACCTGTTCAGGAAATTATTCCTAATCATTAGCTTATCTATCCTTCATAGGTATCTCGTTTTTGGCTTGCTCTATGCATTTATTACACTTATTGCACGTACGCGTGAAATACCCTGAAAGTATAATACATATAGTCAAATAATAATTTCAATCATCATATTTCAGGTGATATGTAAATTCTTTCGAAGAAGTATTTTTATTGTCCTTACGTGTCTTGTAATTTATTGGATTATACAGTGTGTTTGTTTTATGTGGAAACTTGGAAATATCTTGAAAAATGTGAGATACAGAAAAATATTTCAGAGGAATATTGTAAGATATAGAAAGTCATATAATAATGTAATATTTAGTTTACTTTTTGGTCACTTTGGAAAACTGCTTGATGATATTGATATTTTTAAATAGTAACCACTATTTTTCATTAGATATTCTTATAGCTGATATTGAAATATATTGCTTATGGTTTTTACATAACTATTATCAGGATATAAAATTTCAAAGTTAATAAAGATATTATAATACAATACAACAGTATTCAAATTTCCTAAAGGAGGAACTTCTATTTACCACAGGTAGCTTATACTTGGACTTTATATTGGCACATCAACTCAAACTTAAATTTTAAAGTTTAAGCATAGAACACAATTGTTTTGAACATGATCTTATGTCGGCTGTGAGAATCTGTAATAGAAATATAGGTTCCTATTTAAAACTTTAATATGATTTTCTATGGACATTTAGGTATCACAGGATTATTACTATAGTATGTGCTCCTTTACAGCTTGAAACATTTGTTTGAAATTTTTCTGTGTCTTCCACTGTGTTTCCACATGAAAGGAACAAACTATATAATAAAATTAAATGATTTATTAATTCTTACTTACAATGTTACTGAAGAAATGTAGTTTTAAAGAAGAATAAGGTCAAAGTTGAAATGTTGATTTTTGTCTATAAGGGTTTACTCATTGACAACTCCTCCAGTTGATTTTAACTTATTTTCTAATTATATTATTATTATTTTATTAGTTGATTTTGACTTTAACTCTGAAAGATTTTAGACATTGAAATTTTATTTTGGAAAAAAGAAAACATTACAAGTATCTGTAACCTTCTTCCCCTTTTGATCTTTATCAATAACTTTATCATTCTCAGTGTCTCCATAGTGTTTCTGGTGGAACACAAATGGTTATAATATATTACTTTAATCCTTTTGTACAATGGAATAAATTATTATTAAACATAGAGTAGTAATATTTATATGAAGGGCATCGGGATTTAAAAAAAAAAATTAAAATGTGTATTAATGGCGAAATTTTTATATTTTTATTTCGAAAATAATACAAAGTTTAATTGACCTATGTAAAAGTAAAATATTTTCATAATTTTCCTAAATATGGTATTATTATAGAAATAATAATTTCAATAGTGCCAAGTCTAATAATTTTGTTCAATATTTATTTTATAATGTTCTTAAATGCTACAAAATTTGGTAGAAAATGTAGTAGAAAAATATATTGCAATTTTAATCATTTCAAGTCAAATAATTTGATCTAAAAATGTAAACAATTTCTATTAGATATAATAACGTCATTCATAATATATATGTAAATGATTCTCTACTCGTAATAGATATTTTAACAAAATTTTAATGAATACTGAATCGTTTATAAATCGTTTATATACGTCTTTCGTTCGATTACCTACGTTATAAAAATCGAGTTAGAAACAACATTATGTCGCATTATTTAAAGACTCTAACTTTTCTTCGTTACATTTTAGCCGAAGTGAAAATGCCAAGCGGGAACATGGACAAGCCAGTAATCGAAGATAATCACGATGGTACAGTGTCTCTGAGGTACGATCCTAAAGAGGAAGGACAACATGAAATTTCGGTGAAGTTCAATGGCGAACATGTTCAAGGTTTGTATACTTTTGAAATTTTTATTGTACAGGAGATCTCACAATTGGTGTGCAAATCAGGAAAACGCTGATTTTAAATGAAAAAATATAACGAAAATATAAAATTAGGAAATAATTTTTTAATACAAGCTTTTTTCGAATAATTCGATTTTAAATATTTGTGAGATATGCCTGGAATTCTACAGGATAGTCAATTTTGAAATACTTTCATGTATAAGTACAGGAATGATAGTAATCGGTGAAATTTATTAAGTTATAATTTTTTATTATTTTTATTATTTTTAATTTTTAATATATAATTTCTCCTATTTTAATTTCATATATACATATATATGAATTTCACCTAATACTATCATTCCTGCACTTATGTATGAAAACATTTCAAAATTTATTGTCAGATATTAGATATCTTTAAAAAATAAAATATATACATTAAAACAAAATACTTGAAGTAATATGATTTGTTTAATATATATACTTTATCATATAATTGCATTATATAAACTATATATACGTATATTATAAGGGAAGTTTCAAAATGATATCAGTAAAATTAGGAAATAATTCAGCAAAATATAAGTACATCAGTGCATAAGAAAAAGTACAGCAAAATATGGAACATTTATTACAAATATGCATCATCAGTGGATCGCGAAAAATATTGAAATGTAATGTCTAATAATAGTTGAAAATACAATTAATTAAAAAATGAGAAAGTACAATATATTGTTAATATACTTTGTGTTGGCATAATAACCTTAAAACGATTCTCATGTAACAAACTAGCGCCACCACCGGTCGTAGATATAATAAATGTACAATAATTATATCGTTTCATTCTTTCCTAATTTTACTGACCTTTATAAGTATCTAAATTTACTAATTTTTATTAATATAGTCTGGCAAAATATGATATAACATAAATATTTCACTTATTAAGCCTAGCCAATGTAAACATTCGAATATTTCCACGTATGAATGTATATGAATATGTATATTTATTCTATACATATGCAGTTGCATATTCGATTTGCTATGATATTTCTTGCAAATTCCTTTAATATTATCCACTATATCGTAAATACGACGAGGTGCTATACATAAAAATGGAATAGTTAAATCTGAAAATGAAGATAATCGAAATATTTCTTTATTATAATTGATTCGATATTATACTATGTTGATATACTGAAAAAAAAATAAAAACCTGTATTAATAGAACTAAATTATTTTATAAGTCAGTTGCCAACATAAATTTACATTCAGCTACGACTTTTCAACATCTGAGCATCTGCAAGCACTCGTAACGAGGAACCAATTTACGAATCGAGTCTCCAAAAATTTGCGTCCTATTTTCCGTTACTATTTCTGTATCTCACAGTCAGAATGTATTATTTTATTCTTTTCGTCAAAAATGATATTCTACGCGTTCCCTACTTAAAATTTGTCAATCTTTTTAATGATGAAGAATCCTTTACCATCTTACCTTAAGTCCTATATCGTTGAATTTCCAATACAGTGGTGTAGCAATGTTATTACAAACTATTTAGCATTAACAATTAAATTCCTATTTACCTTAGTTATAAATACAATAGTATTTAATATTATGCTTTAGTTATATATACAATAGTAATACTGATAGTAAAACAATTTTTTGCAGATATAACTTTTATATATATATTATTTATAACTATACCAGAATTATAATATTTATGTTTTGATATAACTATATCAGTACAATGATATTTTATTTAGTACAAAATAATATAATGGTAATTATCTATTATTTAACCCTTTGCACTCGATGATTTTTTGGCTAAAGAAGAGTAGGGGTTCAACAATTTTCTGCCATAAAGCTGACAATATTTTGTTCAACAGGATATAAGAAATCGAGTAATAATTAAAACGTAGAATTATTTGCATACCGTTACATTATCTTAAATTTGGTATATTAATTAATATCGAGCTTCCAAATTTTATCGAATGGTGACTGAAGGTCACCTCTCGAGTGCCAAAGGATAATGTATTCATTAATTAACACTTTGACGACTGATATGGTAATCTGTGTGTTCTACAAAAATATAATTTATTTAATATTTTCATTCAACGATTGAGGAAAAGAATAAAGATTAATAGACGTTTATTCTGGGAGATGTATATTATGAGAGATACAAAACAAAATTCAGAATCTCATATGAAAATATTTGATTACAAATATTACATATATATAATACATTTTAACGTCAATTGTGGTATCACCTTATGAAAGTATCTAAATACTGTATAAGGGTTATAGATGTACTTACTATAGTAGACTTTTAACACTTTATCGACCGACAGTCTATTAATCGGTTGCCATGGCGATGAACAGTCATTATCATTATATGAACAGCAATTTGTTATTTAGTATTGAGGTACGTTGCTTTGTAAGCTTCCACATTTTTATATGGGGGGCGCCAGGGAGATTCTGCGGCTGAGCGGCCGGTCGGATGTGCTTAGGCTGTTGAATCGCTAGCCGTCGGTAAAGTGTTAACCCATTTGAATCCAAACGCGGAATATTCCGCGAGCCACGACAGTCGTCTATCACCGAGCGCGGAATATTCCGCGAGCGGCGACTGTCGCCTATCACCGAGCGCGGAATAATCCGCGCACTAACTTTTCCCATTACCAGTTGCTGAATATTCTTCATATGCCACAGATCACGTTTGATCCCTTTCGTGAACGTGATCTGTGGCATATGAAAAATATTCAGCAACTGGTAATGGAAAAAAGTCAGCTCGCGGATTTTTCCGCGCTCGGTGATAGTCGGCTATCGTGGCTCGCGGAATATTCCGCGCTTGGATGCAAACGGGTTAATGTCACTCTACTCATATAGTATGTATGTATATAAGTATGTTCTATGACAAATTAGAGTACGGTTTCATCGGTGACGTTAATTAAAATATTAATATTAAATAATTAAGTTTATTATTTATTTTATTACGTTACTTTCTTGGTCTCATTTGAGCGATAATGTGTACTAAAATATTCCCAAAAGATGAAGGTTAGATCGGTTAAAATGCATATTTCTCGTTAGGTCTGGTTCCTTCGTTGACTTACATCACTACCTAGCAAACCTCTCACTTATCAAAGTAGGCTGGATGCTCAGTGTTCTAGAGAGGCTACTTGACTCACAGTCGATGCTTTAGTGTCTATTGATTCATTATTCCTGTAATCATTTACTCTTTAACGCATTGAATACTTGCACTCGATTTCCTATTCGAACCATTCTATTAATATCACATTCGAAAAAATATTTTCATAAAATGTCTTTTGATATCTTTAATTATATAACTAATAACTATGACACTTATTGTATCTTACCCCTTTTTCTTTATACTAATTTATACCGAGGTTTTATAAATACAGGTAACCCTCCTATAACACGGTAGATAGGTTCCTAGAAAATACCGTGTTGTATGAAACCGTGTAGTATGAGACCCAAAGCCAGTACAAAAAGGGGGGTTACGTTCCGAAAACTTATTAAAAACAAATTTTTTTTTTAATTCTGCATAAACAACTTAATTTTTATTCAAAATATAAATTTATGTACAACACAAAACAAAAATATTATTTTAATTTAACGCAACTTTAATTTAATAAATTTCTTCGTCATCACTGCTCGATATAATCAACTGAGAACGTTTTTTCGGTGGAATGATATCGCCTTCACTTTCAGAACTTTTTTCTTCATTTAAAGTTCTTGCATCTTCTTTCCTCTTCAAAAAATCTGTAATTTCACTTTGCTTGCTGGTTCTTAGCACGTCATTGTAAATTTCTCGGTATGAAGCTAAACAGTTTTGCAGCTCCCTTTTGAATTTTCGACTTCTTTCAGGGTTTGCATTCAAAAAAAATGACTCGAGATTTTCAACTAAGCTTAGGCCTTCTAGTAATTTTTTTAATGTTAAATTATTAACTGCACAATCTTCATCAGTGCCAGTGTCCTCGGAATCGATTTGATTTACAGCTTCAGATGCCATTTCCATTAAATCCGCTTCATCAACTTCTTCCTCCACTAATAAATCTTAAACCTCCCCAATAACCATATCCACAAAACCTGCACCTCTAATTGATTTAGCAAATTCTAATATGCCACTAATTTCATTTTCCGACGATTCACGCACGTTTCCTATTTCAACTGAAGAGGACCATATCTTCTTACAGCACGTGTTATAGGATGCCATGTTATCGGAGGGTTCCCACAATTCATGAATCGTGTTACAGTGAAACCGTGTTATAGGATGCTGTGTTGTAGGAGGGTTACCTGTACTATAAATTATATCCTAAAGACACAAATGTAATAACTGAATGTCAAAATTATCTTTAATTCGTGTCAAACCGATTTAACACTCCATTTTATGCCTAGATTTCAATTTAACATTGAAGAGGTTATAATCATTGTAGATAATTTCGTATTAAAATAATTTCGTGTTAGAAGTAGCACTACGTATTGCTTAAGAGTAGTGTGAGTTTAATCGAATATATTTCAGTGGATATATCCCAATTAACTCATTTGCATCATAAATGCATATATGCGCGCTAGTTTGTTGGGCATAGGAACAAAACACTAGCGTACGTAGTCATAGAGCGCATGCGCACAGTTAGTGGAAAGTGATGACTGCAAACGGATAAAAGTATTTTTCTAGATAAAAGCAATAATAGAAAAGCTGATGAAAATGGAGGGTTTTGATTCGATTAGTAGTGAAAAAAAAATTAAACCTACAAAACGTAGACGTATTATTACGACATCTTTTGACAATGACATGGCGGGAAGCTCCTAAACGTTGTGTAGTTAATTACACAATTATTAGTTAGTTATTATTTATTATTAATTATTAATTAGTTAGTTACACAAATAAAGAGAAACGATTTTATTGTAAGTACTATTTTAGGTACTATCATACTGTGTAAAACTATTAAATTTAATTTCTCAACTTATTTTCAATATATAACCTCACTGAACTAAATAAGGTTATAAATTCTTCGTGCACGCCATTTTGTTTTTCGTCTTTTCTTCGTCAGTTTGAAATACTTCCATCTTTATACGATAATAAAAATTTTGGTGATATGGGTCAATTTTCCACTTTTTCGAATGATACCAATAGGTTAATAAATTATAGTCTAATTGGGAATGGAAAAGATAGGTTATTTCTCTTATTGGCTGAAATTTTAGCGTGTCTCGCGGTCAGAGTGTCGGAGGCCTTCAAGAGAGAATTAGGCGTGTAAACAAATCACTCTTACTCTTGTGAGAAGTCAGAAGGTTTGTTTTCGTCGTAAGGTGTCTCGCGAGGAACGCATAATCTCTCAAATTTGCGCTTTTCACGCGATGGTCCAAGTTCAACGCGTTCGGTGCGGAATCGATCTTGTTTTGCTTCTCGTTTAGCTACCGGCCGGTACTCAGCGAACGCGTAAACACGAAAAGTAAAAATAGAGAGTAACGAGATGAGGAGCGGCACGGAGGCGACTCATTGAATGACAGTCAGTTATACAAAAGCCATAGAATACTGAAAACATCGTTCGGAAAGAGGGAATTTTAGTCTGCTGCCTCGGAATCATGCACGAAATTGTGTTCCACGCGATGTTTCCAAAGTCACGATGCAACTGGACTCTAATATCAATGTCGAATCAATACGTGTAAAAATAAGTTGAAAAAAGAGAAAAAATTTTCTCATTTCGAAATTTTGTTCTTGAGAAAATTGGATTAAAAATTTGTCAAATATTGCGTATTAACTGAAAATTTCGAGGTATTTTGTGCATATGTACATTCATATATATGCACGTTTCGTATATTTTGTATCCTCGTTATTTTTGTTGAAAGAAGAAAATATATGAAGACAGATTTATTTGGTTCAAAGCTAAGGATTATGATGTGCTTTCTTTCATCCAAGGTGACTTTTTCATTTTGTGTTCGAATGTATTCGTTCGCGTGTATCTTGTGACGAATTCGACGATCCATGGCATTATGATCTTTAAATACCCCAAGTGAAAAAGTCACGCTTGTTTACGAGAATAAGAAATTCAACATTTCTGATTTCGTGTAATTCACGCGCAGATATATACACGCGTGTACAGTGTCCTAGGATACTTATATGCCCCTTTAACCCATTTGCATCCAAGCGCGGAATATTCCGCGAGCCACGACTGTCGTTTATCACCGAGCGCGGAATATTCCGCGAGCTGCGACTGTCGTCTATCACCGAGCGCGGAATATTCCGCGAGCTGCGACTGTCGCCTATCACCGAGCGCGGAATAATCCGTGAACTGACTTTTTCCATTACCAGTTGCTGAATATTCTTCATATGCCATAGATCACGTTTGATCCCTTTGTGAGCATTTCATCTACATCGGTTCATTATATTCTTAACAAGTTTTACTTTTGTTGCGAAAATCCTTTTAACTGCCATTGTGAGTAGGTGCTGATACGAGCGTGGTGATACGAGCTAGTCGTCAGTTGAACGTCGCAGAGCCTGAATACGGCACCTTAAGTAGAGCCATGATGCAAATGGGTTAAAAATAGGGAGGAGTGGTTTCGATAGAAAATCCCAAAAATTTTAATAACCAATTCAAATATGCTCCATCGAATGGTAATAATTTCATCTTCCGGTACCGACCGAAAATAGGTTTCTTACGCCGAAATTCAAGTTTTTTTAACGGATCGTGATATTTTTTTTTACATATTCGAATTGTACGTCAAAAAATATGAAAATTTGGACTCCAACGTTCTTTTGACACGAAATGAGTTTGATAATACAGAAACCATAGAATGGCTTTTATTTAATTAGAGTTTTATAATATTTATATGGAGCAATAGTACTCTCGTTTCTTGCTTCGTGATTATACAAGTTAAGAATACGTATATAACATATTAGACATATATTTATATGAATTTATGTATGTTATATTTAAAGCTCCATTGCACGTTTATTAACCCCTTGACTACGGCAGATTTTGGTACGCAACGGTCGTACCATACGGCAGGATTTGAATTACGATGTGCGCCATTTTTGTGAAAACAAGCGCCCTCCGTGTCAGAAAGCTAAACTACGCCGATCGCCTATAGGCGTCCTCCGTGTCACAAACGCAAAATTTCTAAGCGCCTATAGGCGTCCACAGTAGCCAAGGGGTTGGAAAAAAAATCAAATTTCATGAAATTTTGTAAAATTTGCATATTGTTTACACATTGAAGATATATTTAACACCTTCGTATTATTTTATGTAACTATTTATTTCTTTTCAACCAGGTTCACCGTTCAAATTCCACGTGGACTCCTTAGCAAGCGGTTATGTGACAGCATATGGTCCAGGCTTGATATATGGGGTTTGCGGCGAGCCCGGAAACTTCACCATTTCCACAAAAGGCGCAGGAGCTGGTGGCCTATCACTAGCCGTTGAAGGACCTGGCAAAGCTGAGATCTCCTTTTACGACAATAAGGATGGCACAATTTCAGTTTCGTACTTACCGACTGCCCCAGGAGAATATAAAATCAGTGTTAAATTCGGTGATAAACACATCCGGGGTAGCCCATACGTTGCTAAAATCACAGGTATACACGCGATCCAGTCGTTTAATTCACATCACATAAAATGTATTTTTCGCTTGAATTTACATCCTTGAATCAATATTAATTAAATATTTAATAACGAAAATGAAATATTCGTTGCTCTTGTGGTCTGTTATTCAAACTTAACTGAAATTACAGTACAATTTAAATATGTGCAAGAGACTTCTTAAAAACATATGATACAGGAATATATATCAACTGGTAAAATTGTTTTTATTTTGTATTTTATATTAGAAACAGCTTCTTCACAAATATCTCTGTAAACATATCAATGCTCTCAGAAAAGATACCATAATATTCACAAAACTCCTAATTCACAATTTAATAGTAAATTTAAACATTTTCTTTATATTATATAAACCAACAAATTGTGGAAGTTATTTAAACTTTGAGTTTCTTAATAGTATTCCAAAAACTTGCTCGTTTGTTTCAGAAAGTATATCATTATACATCAATAAAAATAAAAATATGAGAGAAATATAGCCACTATAGAAATTACATTATTTTATTACAAGACTGCTATTTGGATTCGTTTCAGGTGAGGGTCGGAAAAGGAATCAAATCTCAGTCGGTTCATCCAGTGAAGTCCAATTACCTGGTAAAGTGACAGATTCCGACGTAAGGTCCCTAAATGCATCCATCACGGCACCTAGCGGACTCGAGGAACCGTGTTTCTTAAAAATGCTACCAAACGGTAACATGTGCGTTTCCTTCACTCCGCGAGAGGCTGGCGAACATACAGTCGCGGTGAAGAAAATGGGCAAACATATCCAGAACTCGCCATTCAAGATTGACGTAAAAGATCGCGAAGTCGGCGACGCGAAAAAGGTAAAAGTGTCTGGTGCTGGCTTAAAGGAAGGTAAAACTCACGTAGAGAACACGTTCTCCATCGACACGAGGAACGCCGGTTTCGGTGGTCTTTCCTTGTCACTGGAAGGACCAAGTAAAGCAGAGATTCAGTGCAAAGACAACGAGGATGGCACGCTAAATATCTCGTACAAGCCAACAGAGCCTGGCTACTACATTATAAACTTGAAATTCGCCGACCATCACGTGGAAGGTTCGCCATTCACAGTGAAAGTGACTGGAGAGGGTAGTAATCGTCAGAGAGAGAAGATCCAAAGGCAGAGGGAAGCTGTACCAATCACAGAAGTTGGCAGTCAATGTAAACTAACGTTTAAGATGCCTGGTATCACCTCGTTTGATCTTGCCGCGACAGTCACCTCCCCAGGAGGAGTAACCGAGGACGCAGAGATCAAGGAAGTCGAAGATGGTCTGTACGCGGTGGCGTTCGTACCGAAAGAACTTGGGGTGCACACGGTCTCCGTTCGTTACAAGGAGATGCATATCCCTGGATCACCCTTCCAATTCACCGTTGGTCCATTGAGGGATGGTGGTGCACATAGAGTACATGCTGGTGGTCCTGGTTTAGAGAGAGGAGAACAGGGTGAACCATGTGAATTCAATATCTGGACCAGAGAGGCTGGAGCTGGTACCCTTGCTGTGTCTGTGGAAGGACCTAGTAAGGCTCAGATTGACTTCAAAGATAGGAAGGATGGCAGTTGTTACGTTAGCTACGTCGTTTCTGAACCTGGTAAGTGTTTGTCATTATTACAGTGTGATTATATTACATGTAGGTTAGTCGATAAGTAAATTATCCTAAATTTTCATTCAGCTATTATTTTTCAATGTAGGTTACATTTATGATAATGAGGAACCAATTTACCTCAGGATTATAAAGCGGATGTTTCTTTTTTATCAACTGCTATTTGGAGTAATATTTTGTTTATAAAAATTATATAACAAAGTAAATTTTAAATTCGGTCATGAACTTATATATGATAGTTCATGTTTGGTATAATATAGGATTAACTGACATAATTTGATTAAATCTTGCTGTACGTTAATTATGATACTGTATTTAGGTTTTCATTTATTGTTACTATTGTATAGTGAAAATGAAAGTTAGAGAAGGCCTGTAATTTATTGACTGACCTACATATTTATATAGTAATTGAGTAATAATAATTGCATAACAATAATGGAGAAAAAATTAACTTCTATAAATTATGAGATCTTTGCTTGCCCTTTGTATATTACATATTCTATATGAAATTGATATTACGATTTAATATTCTTATTTAATTACGACGAATTTGTCCCTCCTTGTTTTTTTAAGGTCGTTTAATAGTTCGAAAAGAAAATTAATTATATATAGAAAAATTATAATTAAGAATTGATTAGAAAGTGATAAGTTGGTTACATATTTTTGTGACTATGTCTAATTTCTAAGCATTAATTTTACAATGTCTACAAAATTTCTATTCCATTTGATTGGATAAAATCTGTATAAAATCTTATCTATTGCATAACAGAGCAGTTAATTTTTAAAAGAAATTTAACAAATAAATTGAAACAATCGCCATAACCTCAAACTTCGTAATCGATCTCTCTCAAATATTCGAATTCCATTATTTATCTTCGATTTAAGATGTTTCACACCAGATGTCGCTATACAAACTGAATTGAGAATAACAAAAGACCAGTTAATACTTTTGGCAATAGAAACGTCCGAAAATTGCGCGTGCAGGCAATAGTATTCTCACACATCAAGTTGGCAGTATTATTAAGTAATGGATAATGAGATTCATGGTATACTAATTGTAACATAAGTGTCCATAAAGCAGTCTACCACATAACTGTCACTTAAGTCATGGATGTTTGCCAACGTCGATAATTCATATTTTAGTCAGTTAGTCACTTTCAAAGTTATATTGTCCTTTTAGACTACTAAATCACTTTTCTGTGAATTACTTACATCCCCATGAGAATTGATTAAATTATTTTAATATTTTTAAATTTCTTTCTATAATCGAATAGTTACTCTTTTATTTCGAATAAAATATCTGTGATATAAAATAAAATATCATAGCAGGTCTTTAGTAAAATATTAGAATAATATGATAAATTGTATTTTCGTATTATTCTTCGAATAAGTACCAATTTCGTATCATAATTATTATTTTTGTGCTGATATAATTTAATTTCCAATTTACTATAGAAACATTGAATTTTTAATTACTTCATCTCATACATTTCTCCCCTTTTTTCGGTAATTTTTTCTATTTTTAAGCAAAAGTAATATTATACAAATAAAAGTATATAAATAGTTTGAAAAATAAAAATTGTAAGCGTATACAACATTAATCAATTTCTAACAAATTAAAAATTTTTTGACAAAAATCACACTTGTGATATTGTTGTGATACTGACCAAAAAGAGACACCAGTGAAGATTTATATATATTATACTCTGAAATACCTAAGGTGGTAGATAAAACTTACAAGTCAAAAGATTGAAAATTAAAAAATTTTTTTTCAATTTATTTGCTCTTTTATTTTTTATATTCAACTATTCTCATTACTATAAGTAAAAAATTCTGTTCATAGAAAATATGAATGGAACTAATTAATCATTATTTATACATTAAATAATCTAGATAAAAATAATTTTGAAAAGTCGAAAACAAATTTTCCTTTATAAATTAATTAGAAATTAACTCAAATTAAATATCACATATTTATAACACATACGCTGAATATTAAATGTGACATAAAAAAAATTAAAAACAAAAATAGTAATAATAGGTTTTACCAATATACTTTATACATTATAAATTAAAAAATTTAATACAGGGGTATATCTACAGCAAACAAAACTTGTAAATGGAAACGTCATATGATATGTATGTACATACGGATATAGAAAGTATTTTTATAAATATCTTTCTGATGAAGCATTTTGAAAAAAACAGTTTTTCTGGATAAATAATGTAACTAATATATATTCGAGGAATTGCCACTTAAGCTTTTGCATGACTCAAAACTCAAAAATTAGAATGCAAAGTGGACAAAATAATGTAATATGAAATTCCATAAGAATAATTTAATTAAAAAAAAGGGGGCAAATATAATTATTGTATTGCGTTACAGAGCAATGATTTAGCATAGCAAAACAATAGAAATGTGATTATTATAAAAACATGTAACGAAACTAGAAAAATTCTTCTTTACTAGTAAATAAGAAAATAAGAATTTACTTAATAAATTTAATTCAATCAATTGTTTTTAAGAAAGTATTTATAACATCAAAAAATAACAAATTTTAAAATGACATTAATTACACTGTTTACGTTCTGAATAAAAATATATATCAACGTCTGCGCATGCACGCATATACATGTGTCCATTCGATGATTCACGTCTTCATGAGACTCGATGAGTCTTAGTTCTATATAAAAACAACTGAAACAAAACAAAATGAAATTCGTTTAATAACATGTTTCATCTCATGGCATACTATTAAAATTTATCACATACTAGACGAATACACGTAAATACTATACGATATAAACAATCCAAACATATTTTAATTGATAAGCCAAAATTGCAATTATAGTCGAAGGCCAAGAATTATCTGATACCAAGCAACCTTTAAAGGTTTCGAGTCATGAATAACAAAATGAATGAACACCCGATGAAAACGACCACACACCGCGTTCTTAAGGAACAGTGGACAAGGGCTCTCACCAGTCTTCATCAGCTGTTCTCGGCTGATCCAGAAATACCTTCGTCTATATTTGCGTCTAAGGTGGATTCATATTTTGGTGGCTAAGGCTGCTGGACGTGAATTAGCGTAGCCGTTATATTTGGGCGGTGTGCATCAAATGAGGAGAAGAGACAGACGAAGAGAGAGATAGAGAACTGAAAGAGAGAAAGCGTGGACGAATCGAGATCAGAAGTTAGAATCAGGCTGAGGAAAATAGTGGTTCGCGATTTAGCTGCTCTCAGTTCTCCACTTTCCTCGTCTTATCCTCCTTCTTCACGTTTACTTTGCTTTTCTTCCTCTTTGTCGTACAACCGTTTTTACCTTATTCCATTCTTCCTTTCATTTTTACTTTTTTTGTTTTCATATCGTTTCGATTTACAATATCTTATCTTTGATTTCTATCTTCTTGTAAACATTGCCTCTATCGCAATTGCAATTTTTAGTTCTCTATTTTTCCCAAAATATCTCTCTCTATCCCATTAGCAGTCGTTGGACACATTAAATTCGAGTAAAGATACTCATTTCGATTTTTGATTTCTATCGGTGGATATAAACAATGGGCACCTTCATTGCTACCACGCAAATACTCATTTCGGGAAATGAACACGATAATTGCGAGGACGATGGTTAGTCGGCATGGCTTGACAGAAAAATTAATCTGTCGATTTTATTCCAGTCAAAATGTATTAGTCATACGGTTTGCTTAACGTTCTGTTAAAAAATAGAGTAGAAGAATATCAATTAAGACTATAGAATTGTAACGAACTTATGTGTTGGATATACAATTTATTAGAGGTGTAATATAACCTCGAAACTTGATACCTCGGTAACTTGTCCTTTTAAATTTCCAGGCGAATACAGGGTAGGAATAAAGTTCAACGATCAACATATTCCCGATTCCCCGCACAAGGTTTACGTATCACCGGCGATGGGCGATGCTCATAAGCTCGAAGTGGCGCAATTTCCGGAATCCGGCGTGCAACCCGACAAGCCAGCCACTTTCCTTGTTCGCAAAAATGGTGCCAAGGGTGAACTTGATGCGAAGGTATATAATGTTTATTTCTGAAATCATATACGCTCTTAACTTACAGCTTAACTCTAATTTTATTTAATAGAAATCTGTTTTACCTTTATTTGAATAATATTCATTATTACCAATAATTCTTTATCCATAATAGATCAGATTGGTTCTTCTCGCCATCACGTTAGGTTATGTGCTTTGGTAATGAATTTCTTCATAATATTATCTACAAAAGATTTCAGTACTGTTAATTTTATACGAGAAAATATAGTATTGTTTGTAAATAACAAGAAATTGAAAAAGTAACACTTCTTTATTTTGAATCTTTTGAAATTATGCCACGTGTGTGTTTATATTTGATATACTGACTTGAAACGACGTTATATCAACAAGTTTATTTGTTTACCTTATTTACGTTCGACAGAGATATTTCTGTGCAGGATAAACATAAAATTCCCTGTAAAAATTTTGCCAAATAATTTGAATTTCGTGGCTGAAGTTTTCAGAGGCCTTCGTTTTTCTTAGAAACCTACATCATTTTAGTGACAAAGTCCTTGCGAAAACCGCGCGCTCTAAATAACTTCCTCTTGTGAAACGACCATGCCACATCATATTGCGTAGGCTTGCGACGCATGCGCGTACAGCCGCTCGCGTTTTCATGCGTATTCCATTCATGCAACCAAATACTTCGTTCCGATCCTTATTTGACAAAATTCTTTGAAAATGATGTATCTCTGATATTTTTAACAGACTACCTACTCAGTGAATTCCTTTTACGCCTTTCCATATTGCCAACGATAATAATATCTAGGCGGATTGAAGGACTGTATTGTTTTGAACAGAATTTTATGTTATTGTTTTATTTCTTATAATATGTATAATAGAAATCTATTTTGACCAGTGAAAATGTACTTTTGTTCACAAATGTATAGAAGAGTTGTTTGTAAAACAATTTTTAAAACCACATAAAGTAATTATTCGAAGAAAAGGGAAATTCTTAAACGAAATGAGGTTAAAAACAAATATACGAAAATTCAATAATAGGTATTGAAACACAGGTAGTATGTATGTGCTGCATTCAATATTTAATTTAAAAGAAAGCATAGAAGTAAAATTTGAATCTTAAAAAATAACTGTTCAAATTGACGGGATTGAAATTTTTGAAAAAAATATTTATAGTCTACGAAAAAATAAATTCAAACAAGAAATATAATTTTTTTTTAAATTAATCTTTTTAATATTTTATAATTTTTTTTGTTATTTCAATAACTTAGGAAATATTTTATCTTCATTATATTTAAATTATATTGCGAATAACGTTTGATAAAAATTAATATAATAAAAAAATGTTATTTTTTCTGCAGATTGTCTCTCCCAGCGGTGTTGAAGATGATTGCTTCATTCAAGGCATCGATCCTGATACTTATTCGGTACGATTTATGGCGCGAGAAAATGGTATTCATAATATCCATGTAAAGTTCAATGGAGTTCATATACCGGGTAGTCCGTACCGTATTAAAGCCGGTAAAGTAGATGCCGATCCAGCCGCGCTACAAGCTTATGGTAACGGTTTAAAAGAGATTAAAACCGGCCAAAAGACAGATTTTATCATTGATACCTGCAATGCTGGAAGTGGCGCATTGAATGTAACTGTTGATGGACCGAGCAAAGTTGCAATGGACTGTACGGAAGTTGAAGAGGGCTACAAAGTTAGGTACACACCATTGGTACCTGGTGATTATTACATAAGCATCAAATACAATGGATATCACATTGTAGGTTCACCATTCAAAGTTCCTTGTACTGGTTAGTATCACTGTTGTCTTTGTTGATCAATAACGCAAACGATTAAAGATAAATATATGAAATCAATGTATCTATAAAATTTTTTCTGAAAAATCTTCAAGGAATTTACTTGTAGATTACAAGATACTTAAAGACAAAGAATAGACAGTGTGTAAGAAAGATTAGATTTTTAGATTATAGGTTTTATTATTTCAAAATATTTATTTAATCACTCTCTATTTAAAAAAAGAATGAATTATTTTAAAGTGATATTTAATATGTATGTTACTTTTAAAACACACGTTTACAATATTCTTTTTTTTATTTATGTGCAATTGAAGAACTTTTTTATGAGACTATATGTAATTCAATATCACTTGAAACAATATTTAAGCAGCCTTTCATAATAAAAATGAAACTATATAGTCTAAGACTTAAAAAATGAAAATATACAATTTTTAAATAAATTATTTTGTTTATTATTAGCAATGTTAAAATTTATCTATTTTTAATACCTTAATCAATATCTATTATATTGAAATAATGGTGCATGATAATGCTATTAATACAAATTTGAGACAATTTGTTGGCAAGACTCATTGAAAATGCCTACTCATTCTATCGAAGATCTACCTTGCCAATGAACTTGATTATTCTAATATTATACCTTCATGGACATCCTATGAATAGAAAATGCCTACTAAATTATTAGATATTTAATATACTCGAACATTTTAGTTACTTCATTAGTTTCTAGAAATTGAGAATATTGTTTTATTTATATGATTAAAACTATCAAATATTTCTTATGTTTAATCTTACTTACACCAAGATATACAAAACAATAATAACCTATTATGAATTTTATTGTTTTACATTTATAACTAAATTTAGATCACAGTCAATAAATTGTTACTGTTCCCTTTTTTATCAATATTTTATAATCTTTTAGTTAAAAATAATCAAAAATTAACAGCTTAAATAATTCATTTGTAGGTGCGGATCTTGCAGAGAGAGGCGCTCAAGAAACAAGTTCAATTGTAGTTGAAACTGTTCAAAAAATTTCAAAAGCGAAACAAACCGGACCAATTTTACCTCTTTTCAAATCAGATGCTAGCAAGATTACAAGCAAAGGAATGGGTCTGAAAAAGGCATACCTGGGCAAACAAAATCAATTTATCGTAAACGCTAGTGATGCCGGTAATTTATTATTTGTGCAATCATTAATTATTAATATTATCAAATATGTTACTTGTATCCCAAGAATTGAAATTTACAAAATATTAATATGATTAGAACTAAAATATGACAATATTTCAATTTACTAATTTTAAGAAATTTATACTCTTTTCTGTTGAGGTATACTGTTTTGCATCCAACTGATACTAATATTTACATTTTTATGTATCTTTATATACATGTATATCTGAAAAAGGAAATTGCATCTTCTTATTTTAAAATGAAAATTATTTTTTAATTCATTCTTGACAAAAAAGATATAAATTCTTAATATAATTGCAAGAATAGGATTTTAATGTAAATATTTCTAGTCAATGGCAAGTATTAAGTGCTGGATATCTGTGGAAGGAATATTTGAGATTAGAAGATATAATCCAAGCTTTAGGGAAAATATGATTAAATATGTAATGGAAATGATACAGTTTCTTTAAATTCATAGATGAAGAATGCAAAATAGAAAGTAAGAAAATCTATGTGTATAAATATTTGTTGTAGGAAGGAAATTTATGCAAAGTTGTAATTGATTGATCTGAGAATGGGTTATTTTTTGTTGTAGAGTCATTTCTTGTTATTGAATTTATGTTTTTCAGGTAGTACAGTTGTATTGAGTCATATTAATACGTTTATTTATATGTCATTGTAATATGAAGCTATATTTATAAACTTACCTTTCTGTCATATCAGAGATAACTATAATTAATAGTTAATAGAATTTCGTAACTTATATCAGTGTTAAATCCATATTCTGAATGATATCATTGAATAGTTATAAGAAATAGAATCATATTTACATACATGATAAGATTAAATAGTATATGCAAAACAGGATATCTAAATGTATGGAGTTCATACTAAAACAATTAAACAAATTTAGAACTTTTATACTAGTAGATTTAAGACAAAAATACCATAATACATTTCTATGAAAGAGTAACAAAAACATTAAGATATTATATTTAAAGTATGAAGTTTCATTTATGAAACATATGATGATTTATGAAATTATTTATTTCATTCCATATTTCATTAACATAAAAATGCACAATATTAATTTCATTTATCTTATGATGTTTGTATTTATATTAGTTTTAAAGATGTAGCTTGTTACAGTTATGCAGAACAACATATAAAATTATATTTATAACTAATATAATTTTAATGAAGAAATTCATGAAGCATTTTATAATTAGAAACATTAATTTTTTGTTTCGTCTGTTTGTAGGTAACAATATCCTGTATGTTGGTGTATATGGACCTAAAGGACCATGCGATGAGGTCTTTGTGAAGCACACAGGTCGCAATAATTACAATGTGAGCTATTTGGCTCGTGAAAGAGGAGAATATATTGTCATTGTAAAATGGGGTGATGAACATATCCCTGGGTCGCCATACAAAGTCGAAGTATAAATAAACGTGTCTTAAACGGAAAGAATAAGCTGAAAATACGATTCTAACAAAACTCTGCGATAACGTAACGATACGAAGCAAAGTTATCGCAGAGTTTTATTGGGATCGTATTTTCAGCTTGTTCTTATATAATATAATTTAAGCTACTTAGCTTCGCCCTTCAATAATATAGATATTATTGAATCCGAAATGATAAACAAAAGTGAAAATAATATGAACGCGTTAAGTCACGATAGCAAAAAAGTCAATTATTGTTATTTGTGAAATAAGAGAGACTACTTTTATTTGAGGAATAAGAAACACCAATTATGCCTTATATTCTAGTTTGAGATACTTGTCCTACTGAAGTGCGTTCTATACATGCATATACAATCTCTCTACTGCGTTATATTCTTTTAATGTAATTATATTAAATAAAAACGCAGACTAAAAGTATATCATAAATTTTATGAATTGAAATGAATAATTTTATGGTTATAAATTATATGAAAATGAAATAAATAATATGTTTATTAAATGATTTGTTAAATTGTTTACCTAGAAAGAATCGAAAATTTTTAATACATTTTATAAACCTATTCTCATACAAATGGGATCCAAATATAAATTTTATTTATTTTATACATGATTATTGCTATCGCTATTTATTGAATACTATATAAAATGTAGTTTTATATTCGATAATATTTATATTGATTTTTACTTTGTTCAGTCGATAATATATATTTCATTAAAGTAAAAACATTGTATACATTAATCTACAATGTTAAATATTACTTCTACTAAGTATAATTTTCAATTTTCTAAATGCATTTGCATATTAAGTAAAAAGATGAAACTTAAACAGTTATCATGATTCAAGCTATTGAATGTTTTAATTTTTAGTTTTCATATGCAATATTTTAAAGCCATAAAATGGTAAAAGTCGATAAAAGAAACATTTTTTAATGTAATAAATTTCTCTCCGACATTGCTGCATGTTTCAATTATAAAACTATAAAGTTATAGATGCCAAACGCCTGTTGATGAGCAATTCGCCATGCAGTATCAATTTCTTTGAATTTCAGTATAGTTTCAATTAATAAATTATATATCATTTAATACAAAGGTGTTCTATATACTTTACTTCCTTGTATTTAATTCTTAAAATTAATTAATGTTATTAACATTATCGTAAATATGGAAAGGAACAAGTTACACATATACTTTTTGACAATTTTAATATTTATCTGAAATACACAATAAAATGTACTGGAAAATGAAATTGTAATATACTTAGTACATTTCTTTTTCCTAAAAATTAAATTCTTTGTTAATATTTTAAATACATTATATTTAATAGTATTAAATATTAATATTGTACTAACAATGTATTAAATATTAACAGTTAACAGTAAATATTGTTAAATATTAACTAAAAACATTTATTCTAATATAGATAATATTATTTAATATATATATATTAAAAATACATAATATGCATACTAAAATTTACTAAAATAATTGGTTTAAGGCTGATTATGTGTTGGTAGAAGCACAAATCTTTCATTCTAATATTTGTTTACTAAAATATAAACCAAAATTGCATATATGCTTTATATGTAGGTATCCATAATTTTATATACATTTACTTTTACACTAATTCTTAATGCATGAAACAATTGTAAACATTGTAAGTTACTTGTGACTTATGTATCTGGTTTATAAAATATTTTCCTAATAATTAGGTTAGGTAAAATAGTGAATTCTTATTAAAAAAAAACGAAAATATAAAGTTTAAAAGAATTTAACACTATTCTTAGACTTATAATAGTATTTATTTAGCTATAAAGATAGAAAATAATAAAATTTATAGTTTGAAACACATAATAAATGTTTTATCAGATAGAAAAATTAATAAAATTTGTAATATCAACCTGTAGTTCTATAATTAATTATATATGGCTATTGTATAAAAATATTCATTTATATTTGATACTGCATAATATCAATATTGTTATTTATTTTATAATAATTTACAAAGATTATAAAAATTGATAAAGTTTAAAACACTAAAAACAATAATTATAATACACTTTATAAAATGAGATTATATATTATATATTAATCATACTAAATTTGTTAATAAACATATACAATACTAATTTCAAAACTTTTATAGATTGTATTTGTGAAAAGATCAATTTTGTATTTGATCAAATCAAGAATTCTAATGTAATTGTCTATTTAACAATGAAAGATCTATTATATCTATATATATGTTCAACAAATATGTTAAATTGATTTAAAAAATAATGTCTATTAATTAACATTATTTAATTATTTCATTATTCTCATTATTTAATATATATTACAAACAAAATAATATTGGAAAATAACAAGTGATTTTTAAAATGTATTTTAATGTCTGTTACAGTTCAATTTATTTATTTAGTATTCAAATATTACTAAATAAATAAAAAATGGTTGTTTCTAAATTTTTTCTTTTTACTTTATTGGAAATACGGAATTGTTTCTTGCATTATAATTTTTATTGAGATAGAAACATAATTATATATGCATACCCACTTACTTTTATTATTTTATTTTAATTATTATTACCTGTGGTCTGGACGAAATTTATTTGAAATAATTGGAAAGTAATTGCATATAATGTTAATTATTACGTGATAAGTAATGTGTTTCAATTAATGATATGTTCTTTATATGGTCAATTAAATAATAAATTGAAGAATTGGTTATTTGAGGAAATAAGATTTATTACATAACTGAAAATTTGTTTACGAAATAACAATTAGAATACGTATTAAACAATAAGTATAGCAACAGTAATACTATTAATAAGCAATAATATAAACATTCGAAAATACATAATAAAAAATTTCTTTTGTGTTATTGATATTTTCACCAAAAGTAAATAATAGCTAACTATAAAAAATAATAAATAATTAATTTCCCAAAGTAACAAATAATTTTATTAATTTCAAGTACATTAATCTACATTTCGTATGAAATATTTGTTACATCAAAAATAAATTACTTTTTGAATCACTTTAAAAGAGTAATTTCAAAATAATGTAATTTGAATATTTCCCTGAATATACAGCATCTAGTTTGAGATAGATCTTTAAACTACTTCTTCAAAGATGATAGATAACATCTGCTTGGTCTTATCCAAGATTAAATGAAAAATTTAGATCCTTTTATCACATTACACTGTAATAAAAATAACTTAATATAATACATTATAATAAAAATAATTTAAAAAATAATGTAATAATCTATATTACATTACAAATCAACAAGTATAGTGTTAATTTTTATTTTTTAAATAAACTATATGATAAATGTAATATCTATCAATTCAAAAATAAAACTTCTTTTATTTTTTTTTCAATCCTTTCCTTTTTTAATTATTTCTCTCACTTATTATTATTATAGTAGGGTAAAAATAAAATGAACAAAAATGTCTTCAATCTCCTATTTGCAATAAAATTTAGCAATAAAAGGTAAGTACTACCCCTGTAATAATGTCATTTATTAATAATATTTGATTATAAATGTTAATAACACTCATCTTAAAACTTTGTTTAACTTACATTTAATTAAACTTAAAGTTAATATTAAAATAGTATTACAACTTTAATAATATTTACAATATATTAATCATTGCAGAAGTAGAGTTCTTATTCTTTATCTTAATTTTTGTCTTATTCTAATTCTTGGAGTGATTTTTATTAATAAACAGGAAAGTTATTTTCTTCCTTTTTTATATTAAAAATACATAGTATTGTGATTATAGTGGCAATAAGAATAAGTTTAAAGTAGGATGTCAAAGTCAACAGTGCGCGTCAAACGAACACTTGAAGTGTGGGCTGATTCTCATTGAATAAATTTGCATTCAACAGGAAGAACACGATCCGTAACTTGTCATCGTTAGATGTATCGCACCTGTAACCATGAATAACGATACAGGTGCCTTTTATCGCACGAACCATGGAAGTTACATCAGCTTACATTGCACGTGTGATTTCCATTGTTTATTTCTCAACAAACATTTTGAATTGAACAAGAAAAATTTCGTTCTTTCGGATATATAAGAGATAGTTGTCAACAAAGCATATGGATCATTTATATCTTTTAAAATACAATTACTAAAAATTTATTGTAAGAATAATCACATACAAAATTTACAATAAAGAAAATTGTTTATATTCTAGTTTCTAAAAAGTGAACATAAATTAACATTTAATGAAATTATATTGAATTTTGTAACAAAAGTATAAATGTGTAATGTTACAAATTGTGAAGTTTTTTAGAATTTTCTTCGACGGCACATTACAAAAATATGTGAAAAATAACAAATATAAAAATATCATTAATAAAAAATATACAGAGAAATTAAATTAACAAAAAGTACAATAAATAATTAAAATTAAAGTTATGAGATTTTATAACACTTTTCTAACTGGCTCAATTATTAAAAATGTCAAAGTGAGAATAAACGTTTAAAAAAAAATGGTAGTACTGAAATGTTAAAAAAGGAAATCAATGTATTTGTACTACTTTTTTTATAATTTTTGTCATTTGCTTATTTTCATTAATCGAAAATTAATATTTCAAATTTGAAAAATTCCTACACAATGCAACAAGAAAAGAAAAATCCTTGTAATATAAACTTCTATATTTCCAAATACAGATCCACAAAATAAAGGATAATAAATATATACCAAGAATTGCAATTGCAATAATTTTTACAATTCTGCAGAACTTTTTATCAATAAGATTTCATAAATTTCTTAATAAATTACGAGTCAAGATTAAATATAGATGTACATTTATACGTCTATTTGATATAATTTACGTAAATAAAAAATTCCTCGTTAACTATTTTTTCCAATTCTAGGTCATACATACTATTAATTTTTCTGCTTCAACCAAGTTTTCTCATACTTTCCACTAACTGCTGATAATAGAACGTAATAATAAAAAACACAAACCCAAAAACAAACATCACGAATTAACAAATTAACAAGGAATAGCTATCACAAAAACCAATGTCTCTTGTTATTCTCCTGACCTAACCTTAAAAATTTATGATTAACCTCAGCAATGGCAGTACAAAAGGAAATATAAAGACAATCTACAGAGAATAATTATAAAATTATAGCAACGATAAAACGGTAGACTAATACAGTGAGAGAGAAGACATGCTCGTTGACATAGACAAGACCGAAAATAGAGAGAAAAGAAAGAACAGTTAACCGGAGGATGCATACGTAGGTGGAAAAAAGACGATATTATCCAAGCTGTCTATCCGCAAAGTTGGAGATAGAAAGAAGGGAGACAGAGACAGACGTATATAAGG